AAGTGATCTACACCTTCACACAAGAGGAGAGTGTCATAACCAAGAAATTGGCTTGCATTAGGAGTACTCTTGACAATGGAATCACAACAAGAGCAAGACTCTTTTGTAAATCTCAAGGTAGCACCAAGGATGAGTACGCAAAGACTCCTAAGGAGAGATCCTAGTTGCACTAGGACTCTACCATTCTTGTCCCAAATGGCACCAAAGTGAATATGGGAAGAGTCTTTATGGCACTAGAACTCAAAGGAAAGCTTCCCAGAGCTTTTCTTATAACGTTCTAATTGAATTGAGAATCCCTGATAATTCATCATTAATTCAGAATTACCATAGTTTAATACCAAAATATATTATTGTTTTTAATAATTAATGTTAGTGACATATTACCAACAAATTAATTAATTACCAATAATAATTAATTATTTTATTAAGATTAAAATTTAATAGTAAATTAATTTTTATTACTTTTTTACTAATTCATAATATTAGTTTTATTAATTAATAATATTACTCAATATTACTATTAACAATAGTAATATTTTTTTATAAAATAAGAATTATAAGATTTATTAATTCATAATTAAGAATTATTAACGATAATTATAGATCTATTCGTGATTTTTTAAATATTAAATATTGTGGGCTTCGAGAAGCTCATGGCTGACTCAAAGAAGTAGGAGTCGCCACCCATTTTTTAGAGGAAATGGACCCTCACTTTCGAGTTTGAAAAACGGTTTACTAGCCTTGATAGTGACTCCATTCTCCACCAAGGAAAGGCACTGAACCGAAAGGCTTTGGGTTCAAAGGATTGGGAGAGGGAAGGTGTTAGGCACCCCTCTCTCCAAGCTTCTATAGGAGCTCACTACAATAGTAATTTAGGCTCAAATTCCTGCAGAAACCTGCACTAACAAGATTGTCCAAAGCTCTTGAAATCTGGCGAAAATGTTCCCAACTTCACCCATAATTGATTTGAGGTGATGTTATTGGGTCTTATGTACTAGTTTCCCTAAGACCCTCGCCTCTCTACCTCATTTTCTCAATCCGGAGGAAGATGGGAATGCAGATTTTCCAAGATTTTAGAGCTTTAAGCAAACCTGAAACTAAACTAAAAGCAAAGAGATGATGGAATGAGCGGCTTACCTCTCATGTACGACCTTGAAACAAGCTTTCCAATAGCCGAAAGGACTTCAAATGAAACTTGAACAAGGCAGGAGCTAGGCTAGACGTTTCTGGTGTTGACTGGAAAACAGAAGATGAGGCTTGAGCTTAGCTACAAGGATATCGAGACTTCAAGCAAGTTGGGTGTGTTACAGGAGTTGGGAAAACTCCCACCCCCTTTTCAAGCTCGAGTTGAGCCTCTATTTATAGAGAAAATGGAGGGAGATGGGTCTAAAACTTGTCTAGCTATAGTGTTTGTAGCTCAATAAAGTTTTACAGAAATGGGCAAGGATTTTTTAGAGAAAGGGGCTTATAGTTGACCATTCCTTCTTTGTGCAACAAATCTTCTCAGTTTTTGGTGGTTTCTCATGGGTTTCGTGCATCCAATGAGGGATTGGGGCGTGCCAGACGTTGCAGCCCCGTATTTAGGGTTGACAATGGCAAAAAACGTAAATTTGAAGAACTTTTAAATGTTATTTTGTCTTTTCTTGACTTTAAGTAGGGGCTTATTTGGCATTTTGGGTTTTTTAAGCCTATTAGGCTCAAAATCACTGGTCCAGGTGTTTTAATGGGGTTAAGTAAGGATCTGACGTTAGTCTCCACCCACTTAAGATCCTAGGTTGGACTTCTGATGTGGCGATTCAATTGGGTGCGTCAAAAAGGTACCTCTTTAGTTTAATGGTCAAATGGATGAATCTGGTAAAGAAATTTGGTGTGTTGGGGTTTTTGGGATTCTAAACACAGTGGTGAGGTCTGATCAGACAAACGGGGTTGAGAAGATTGAGATCTGTGGCTAACAAGTTTGGATCAATAAGATTTGTTGAAATAGAATCTTTGTTTGATGAAGGGTCGAACATGGCAATTTTGGAATGAAATTTGGTGAGTAGGCATTTTCAAACATCCCAAATCTGATGGAAGTGATGGATCTTTGATCAGAGGTGTGGATTGACTGAATTAGTTCAGATCATGGTTTTAGCTTATGGTTTTTCAATCAACGAGAGGGCCCAGAATGGAATCTTTCTTTTTCAACGTCAAATGGAGGTTCTTAGTCGTGAAATTTGATGTGGTGGGATTCTTTGTGCCATTGGACATGGTGGTGGGACCTGATTGGTCAGATAGGGCTTGGATGATGGGGGTTTGTGACAGGTGAGCTTTTGATCAATAAGATTCGTTAAAATAGAATTCAGGCTTGATGTTAGGCCAAACGAGAGAATTTTGGGATAAAACTTGGTGGGTAGCTATGGATTGAGATTATGAGGCTGTTAGAAAGGTTTGATCGTGTTAGGTGTGTGCGAATCACGAGTTTTAGGTTCGAGAAGCATTGTAGTGTTATGTGCGTTGAAATGGGATCATTGATGAATGATTGGCTAAATCCAAGAATTTGGGGTTGGAATTTTTGCGTAATTGGTTGTTTGAGGATTTTGTTTCACGTGATGGATTTTGATCGGGGATCAAGTACGGTGATGTGGCATAATCAAGACCATCAAAAGGGAATCAAATAGATTTAACGATGGATTTATGGGCATTTGGGCTAAAATTTGGTTTCGTAGGGTTTAGGTATGTTTTAAAGTGATTAGTGTGGTCCTGTCGGGCATCCGGAATGTAGGAGATGGGTTAAAGAAGGGACCGAGCAAAAATTGGGTGCTAACAATTATAAAATCTAAAAATCATTATTAACTATTTTCATAACTAATTAAAAATTCCTTAAAATATTATTATTTTTCGTAATTAATATTATTGTTAATAATTATAAATTAAAATTAGTGCTATTAATTACTAGTGGGGCCCCATGAAATGCATGAGTTTTGTTAAAAGAATTTGAAGCAAAAAGAGCTAGGGTTGGGTGGACCTAACCCAAACCCGACCTAGCTCAACCAAAGCTTTTGCACAAGTTGTGTTTGAGTTTTCGAACTTTAAGATTGAAATTTTCCTTTTTAATATTGATCAATTTTGAATGCAAAGTTTGAATACAAATTTTACTCTCATTTTGAATGAAACATATCTTGAAATCTGTGTTTGTTGTCACTTTGAACAAGTGTGCATGTGTCACTCTTCCCAAATGGAGCCTTTAAGGGGGAACTTTGGCTGTTTGGAAGCTTTCTCAACATTACATGTTATCCCACTCAGTTCCTCGTCATTTTGTTTAAAAGAATATTGGGAATTTGGGACAAATATTGTTGCACTGTTACCCACTAAAATGCTACTGACGACACTAATCTGTACCCATTAGAATACTACCCACACACAAGACATTACATCTGTAATGCTACTTGTTTCTTGTCATTCATAGGGAAATGTTTCCGATATATGACTTTGTGGGTTGATGTACATAGCATTCTTGTGGGTAGCATACGTAGAGTCAATATTCTTTTACCTCACACCCATGATAAGTGATAAACTATGATGCACAGGAAGCTTCTAAGCAGCACAACTTAAAATCTAAGAAAAGCTTGGTTGTTTGATAAAAACATTCTGGACTGTTTTGAAGCATCTTACATATGACATTTTTTTTTTTTTTTTTTTTGGGGGGGGGGGGGGGGGGTTATAGTTCAGTCCACCCCTAGGGTGGAGCTAAGATTTCTAGGGGTGGACTGCATCCTGACCATGGATTGATGCCAAATCCACAGGCAGGATGCGGTGAATGTGGTTTATAGGGGGGGTGTGCTACTAGTAGATTAAGAGGAGGCTGCAATTTCAGATTTCTGAGGTTAATTGCAGTCCATTTATCCCTTTTTTTGATAATTATCATACACGACACGTTACCCACTAGACCTGTTCACGGGGCGGGCTTTGGGCCCAAATTTACATTGTCTTGGGCTCAAGCTTCGGATTAAGTCTATTAGAATTTTGTCAAAAGCCAAACCCAAGCCCGACCTATGAACAGGTCTATTACACACTTAGTTCCTTGCCTTTTTAATTAAGGGAGTGTTGAATTCACATATGCTCCCCAAAACAGATCCCAACCGTGTATTGGATTGGGAACATCTCTCACTGACATATGCATGTAGGGCGATCGTGAGGCACAGATGTGATCTCAAGAATGTTACTGTTTCTTCTAATGTTCCAGTCATTTTTGCTGAATTGGGATCTGCTCCTCACTGAAATCCTCACACCAACCTCACAGTCACATACCACCATGTGTTGAGAACATCTCCCATGAATAACAATAAACAAGTATAGGAGATGTTTTCAATATACAACTAGAACATGCTGTGAGGTCAGTGAGAAGCAAATCCGGATTCGTTTTTGCTTCCAGAAACAAAACTGGTCATGTTGTCAAATACCCCCTAAAATAGAACATTTTTTCCGCTTCAAATTTAAATGGAATATTACTGCAATTACTCTTTTACCCAACACTCACGCTTACGTGTCATACCCATGAAGCTTCAAAACAGCCCAGCTACCCACCCGAATCAAAAGAATCTGCTTGTCTGAGTCAGCCGCTTCTATTTTTGGGTAGAAGGTTGACATAATTTAGAAAACTAGAGATTGGATCATAATAAAAGCAAAATATCTGATGGTTTTCATCATCCAAATGCATTTGATAATAACTTAGGTAGGTGGGATTTACCCGCTCTGGTGGGATGTCATAAACGTCCCATGTCCCTGGCCACAATTCTGCTAAGCACAAACCATCAGGTTTTGATACCCAATCTACTGACGTGTAACGGTGTAAGTATCACAAACATTGTTCCCTATTATAGAAAAAAGATAATTTGACGAAGCAAAATAACTTCAGTCCTAGCATAATCAAGATTGCTGCTCAAGACAATCTTGGAAACGCCCAAAAATATAATTTAGAAAAGGAAAATCATGGCGACAAGCAAACTTCGGTGAAGCTACACTGGTGGAGTTCCTGCCTAGAGACAACAGGATAAGCCGTCCTCGGCAAGCTCGTGTTTAAAATACCTGAAGCATAAATTATAAACTAAAATGGCAGTTGGGAAATAGAGTAATACAATGTTCAAGATTACAAGAGTTAATTTTGTTGTCAGCCATGGGACTCAGATCCTTTTGCAAGAATGTATAAATATGTCAGTAATCATAAGTATCATCAGCTGTTTTTAGTGTTTAAGGTTTGATTCCTGAAGAATCATTTGGTGCACTCTTTACCTGTACCAACTTCCACAACATCTTCAGGCTCCTATGGAATCTGCAGTCTTGTTTCACTCCACAACATCACTCTGCAGTTCTGCAGGTGTAAGAACATTTTTGGATATGCAATCCTCGTTTCCTGTAAGTACAGTAGAACTAGGGACTTGAGGCCCAGGCATTGCTTCTGTAAGTGCAGAGTGCTTAGCTACAAGATCAGCTTGGGGATCTAATGGTGCATGTGGACAAACTTCTTTCTGCAACATCTCTACCAGAGCATTAGTCTTTGCCCCAGATTGTGCATCTTCAATGTTCAATACGACAACATGGCTTTTCTGGCTTTCATCTAAATGGGAATTTGCATCTCTCTTTTGAGTCTCAACTGAATGCTCAACATGTGCATATACTGTGTCAACTTTAGGAGAAACCTGGTTTTCATTCAACATCTTATTCTTAGTGGCCACTGGTTTTAAATCTCCCTCAATTGTTTCAGTGGCATCATTTTGTGGCATTCCATTTGAATGGGAACTCTCATCACTCTTTGGAATCTCAACTGAGAGAGCAGCCTGAATATCTCGTGGCGTATCACCTTCTGGACACGCCTGGTTTTCATGTAACACCCCAATTGGTTCAGCGACTACTGACTTTGGTATATCAGTTACAGGAACATGGTTAAGTTTGACATCAGGACCACTCTCTGTATCATCAATTGGCTGATAACCCTTAAATTCAGCACCCATAGCCTGATTTTGAACATGAATCATCTGGACAGGTATCTCAGTTCCCTCCAGTGTCTCCACTGATAGTTCAATTTTAGTTTCAAATTTTGGATCTTCAGGTGCATCTAAACTATTTTGGGATCCCTTGTTTGAGGCATTTTCCTGCAGCAAATCATCTGGTTTTGCAGTTCCATCTACATTACAGTTCCACTGTTCGGTTGAGGCAGGTCCATTCTTGCCTTCAGACACTATAGCTGGCTGTGGCATGACCAGGCTCACCTGGTTGGTGCAAGCAAATACACCTCTTGCAGGATGACCAGTCTTATCTTCTACCAGTACATCAGTTGACATTTTCTTGTCAACCACAGGAACTGCTGCTTGAGTAGAAATTTGAATAGAACTGACATCATCATGTTGTTCTTTAGCATGTACACTAATTGCACTCCTGATGTTACCCTCACCTTGCTGCACAGCCTGTAATGTAGCTAAGAGAACTTTATTAGGGTCACTTGGCACTCCTTTTGGGTCTGCCTGAGGACCAGGTTGAAGCTCAGAGGGCAATACTCGGGGTGCTCCAAGGACCTGGTTGACTGGTGGTGACACCTTTTCTGGAAGAACATCATTTCTCTGAGGAAAGTTGACAGATTGCACATTCTTTTGTTCGGATTGGATTGTATGAGACACCTGGGCTGGGGAATCTACACCTGGGATAGGAATATCATTTCTTTTGAACATTTTGACATGTGGTGCCACATCATTTGCTGCTGAAATGGGAACAGAGAGCCCTGGCTCAAACACCACACCACTCAGAATGGTATCAGTATTACCAACTCTAACAGTGAGCAAATATCCAGCATCAAATGCCCCCTCAAGAACACCAGAAACAACCTTTCCGACCATGTTACTATTTGTATCGGTAGCTGCATCTATTTTCCGGCGACGATTCCTCCTTTCTGCATCAGAACCAGGTGTGACTGAAACTTTCTCCCCATGATTCAGAGACTCACCCTTCCGTGGACGACCCCTTTTCCGCTTGACAGGGAGGTTTTCTGGAGCTAAAGAATTGGTTATTTGGTTCTCCTGGCTCATCTTCCAGGAGTTAATTTCAAGCCTGCCTTACAGAATTTTTAGAGAACTCTTCACTTTGAACAGAAGGAAATATTTGACTTGATAAAAGCAAACACCTACAAAAATGATGAACATCCAACACTGAGTTATGAAACTGGAAAATATCAAAAGTTCAGAAATATGTTGATACAGACATGAAACTGGAAGAGAGAAGAGAAACTATGGAAGAAGAAATCAAATTTATCCATTTTCCCGCATCAATGACAATTTTGTAGTTTTTGAGTGATTTAGATTTTGGCAAACTCGATCTTTTTTTTTTAGCTTATTTATTAGTGCTCTGGGTATAGGGTTAAACATCTTAAATTGGAAAATAATTTCAATTATTAGATGTTTTAGAATTTTGACAAATTAAAATTGGAATAACATCACTTTTCTTTCACCCATTTTTTCCAAGGGTCAAAACTTGACTATTTAATTGATTTTGGTGTCATTAGAGGGAGAACACAATTTTATTTTTGGTAGGGTGTCAGTCTGTGATAGGATCTGCAACTTCCAATTTTCTGGGCCTATCCTTGGAGTTGTTTTAGTTTGTCTAATTGTAGTGGAAATGGTCTTCTTTGATACATCTTCACCTAATAGTAGATTGTGATCTGTTAATCCTTCATGCAGAGTTTGTTTGCAGTGCAAATCTAAACTGGATACAAATTTTGCATCTGGTTCAGCTTTACATCCATTTGTTTTTTACACTCCTGATACAAAATTTGTACTTTTTGTATCATTTTCACTCACTGGCAGTGCAAATTGTGAATCCTAAAACTGATGCAAAATTTGCACTGCCTTCTACCTCAATTCTCCCTCATACAAAGTGGGGACCACATCATCTTGCTTCCTACCTCACTCCTAAAGAAACAGTCCTATCTCCATTCTCTTTCATATAAAGTGGGGACCACTTATTTTACTTCCCAAAAAGAAATAAGACAAAATCAAATCTAAGCAAAAATAAACAAGAATTTACACCCCTCCCATGCATTTACACTGGTGCAAATGTAAGTCGCATTGCAAATAACTTTTCGTGCTTTATTTTCTCTAGTTTTAGTGTTTTATTCTCCTCTTCCAACCGACGCCTCTCTCTTCATCCCCTGCAAGATTAAGCATGATTACAGTTGCTTCTTATCCCAGAGCTAAGACCATGCAAACACATACAACCACCCCAACCGAAAAAACAAAAACCACCATGCACAAAATTACTAATGAGGCTCAAATCATAACACAAACTTTTAGCAAGTAGCTTTATCAATTTTGAAGTCCTGGATTGCATGGTATATTCAACAATTTGAAGCAAACCTACCAGTGTCTCAATAAGACAATATAACTTTTTTTTTTAAATTAAGGTATTGTATTAATAATATAAACAAAATGTGTACATTATAAGCCATGTACATCCCTTGTGTATAGGACTATACAACTTGCTAGCAAGGAATTAACAAGAGAACAAGACATCTCTATCAAAAAATCTCTTACAGACCAGCCCCTTGAAATCCTTGTGAACTGACAACCAAGACAAGAACAAAGCCTTCCTTTAATTCTGTTCAGCAGAGCATCACTATCAGCATGTTCGTTCAAAAATACTCTAGCAATCCTTTCCTCCCACATAGACCACAAAGTAGCCATTGGAAGCATTCCCCAAAAAATTTATAAAAAGGCTTGAGTGGATTGTAAAAAGGAGCCAACCCATTCAAAAGTATTTAGAACACTCCAAATTTTGAAAGCATTTAAACAGTGCAGGAACAGATGGATGGCAGTTTCCAACTCTGCAGAACAACAGACACCCCTGCTGATCCAGAGTCATTCCGCTTTGTAATAATTTATCCCAGTTTAAGCAATTTTTCCATAACCACAGTCCGAACAAAAAACTTGATTTTGGAGGGAACCCCACTATGTCAAATTCTGTTTCTGGGAAATCACCAAGATTTTCTTGGCAAAGACTTCTATAGAACAATTTTACAGTGAGTCTATGATTGTTCTCTCAACACCATCTACATGAGTTAGAAGAGCCCACTTGGGGAATTCTGTACAGATTGCAGTAGTTCCAGCAGCTGATCAACCTCCCAATCATTGAGACTTCTCCCGAAAGTTGGATTCCAGCTGATAATACAATTGGGTAGAGAAAAGCACTTGTTCACCAAAGCCTCCCTGTCTTAGTGAGAGTGTTTGAAAATAAACTAAATTTGAAAAGGACCGCATACAATAAGGAGAAAGAAAGTATTAATAAGTCAGTCTTAAAGAAACAAAAGAATATGAAAAGGATGGTAATAAAAATATAATATGGAGGGTGTATGCTTCATCAAGCTCTTCTCCAAGCATTCAGTGAATCTTCTAGTAAGAAGATTTAATCAATCCACAATTGTCTGAACTCTGGATTTGAAACAGGAACTGATCCACTCTGGCCAAAACATGATTCCCAATCATCATCCCTAGGATCAAGAGATTTGGAATTGTCTTGTGATCTTATCACTCTCAAATAACTGCAAATCATCCCTGCAGATCAGCAACAATATAATTGCTATCTGAATTGAATGCTGAGTGTCGTCATTTTATGAACAATTGTGCTAAACATTCATCCAGATCCCAGAATAAGAAAATGGTAATGGCAAAAGATGAGGTATTGATGAAATTTAGGGTCAACAGAGAACAGTGTTTTAAGACTCAGAACGGACTGAACGGTTGGACTGGTCAACTTGAGAACAGGAAGGTATTCTGGTTTTTAAAAGTCCCAGTTTCCTTTCTTTTCTTGGAAACCCAATGGAATTGGCCAAAACCCAACGGAACCGTTGAAAACCGCCCAGGTCTTAACAACCCAGCCAGGTTTCAATGACCTGCACAGGTCATTAAGCGGTTACAAACTTTAAAATGGTGCAGTAGAAAGATTTGACCATCAACTCTTAGTTATATGTGTCTGCATTCAACCATCAACCCATCATGTCTTTTGTGCTAACTGGCCCCCACTTATTTATGTGTTTTTAATCACAAAATATATTATATATTATTTAGGTGGTTTGCAGTCAAACCATTTTGACCCATAGCCCGGTGAGCAAGGTTTAAAATGTCGATGTCGATGGAAATGTCGCTTACCAAAATATAGGACATATGTCGGAAATGTC